CACTCACACACACACACACACACACACACACACTCACACACACACACTCACACACACACACACACTCATACACACACACACACACACTTACACGTAGAGCAGTTTCTGTATGTACAGTAAACCCAGATGACCTACTGTATTTAGGTAAGCAGTATGCAAGATGTCCAGTTTAATGGTTTTGTTGTTCATCAGCAGGTGGATCTCATCATATTTTCTCTTCAGCGTTCCATAGAAATGTTGCCTTTGCAGCTAAAAAAAAAAAATGTTGAAGCTGAAGTACAAAAATGTAGAATAAATTTAAAATGTCTTAATAAATTAAAATAAAAGCTATATATATATAAACTAATATGATTAAAAAAAATGTATATATGTATATATATACAATTATATATACACACACTCTTCAGCCTTTACTTTTAATATAAATTTAAGAAAGAAAAAAATATATATATTAAATGATGTAAATTAAAAAAATTAATTCAAAATGAGATATTTTATAAATAATATATAATAAAATATATTTTATAAAATACTAAAAAATATATAAAATAAAATTTTATATATGTGTGTGTGTGTATATATAATAGTAATAGTATTTTATAATAAATAATACAAGAAAATAGTATTTTTACTTTAAAATTTCACATTTAATTCATTGTTACTTGCAGACTCTTTGTAATTTATGAAATTTGCTAGCTGTTTCTGAGTAAAATAGTTTCTAATTATGAAGCATAAGCAGGCGACACAGTTCTAACTTCTAAACACAAGCTCGTGTCTCAGTTATACGATACGTGCTGCAGTTTGCCTTCCTATCAAACCTGGACCTGTTTGAACCATAGACTGTATAAAAACATGGACGTAGTGTCCGTGACGTCACCCGTAGACTTCCGACGAGCGTTTTGAAGCCTAAAGTAGGCGGAGCTAGCCGTCGCCATCTTGGCAGCGCGTCACCGCGCGTCACTCCCGGATAATCGAAAATGGGCAAAGAGGCGGGAGCTGGCTGCTGAAACCACACCCACCTAGCTCGACGGTGGTGACAGCAGCGGCAATCCACCTGTCACTCAAGTGGCCACGCCCTTATAGACCAAAATCATTTTTTGAACCAGGCTGTAAACATGTTTTTTTCTGCTGTAAAGTTGGGCATTTTAACATGGGGAGTCTATGGGATTGACTCCCTTTTGCAGCCAGCCTCTAGCGGCTAGTTGACGAATTACAGTTTAAGTCACTTCTGTATTGGCTTCACGAGAGAGAGCGGGAGGTTGCCGCTCGGTTTGAACACACATCACATGACCTCGATGACTTCAGTAGAGAAGAAAGTTATCATTATTTAATGAATGTTTTCTGTAGAGGATTTTTCTTCAGAATAACGTGCGCTGATGAATCCGTCGCATGGAGTTCTGATGTGGTGTCATCTGTAGGTCCCTCAGCAGTGAGCATCACGTGCGTCACAGTGGCGTCTCCGGAGACGTGCGGCATGTGTGCGTGTGTGCGCGTGTGTGTGTGTGTGTGTGTGTGTGGATGTGTTGCTTTCTCTTTGAAAGCTGATTTGAATCATGTGTTTCGGAGCCGGTTCTTCCTTAGAGACCCTCTTCTTCCTTAGAGACCCATGTTTGTTACTGAGCATCAAGACACACACACACACACACACACACACAGACAGACCCTCACTCACACACACACACACAAACACACAACAAACAACCAATTTCTGATGTAAATGCAAGTATAATAATGAATTTTGACTTTGTTTACAGTTTCCCCCCACCTACAATCCCTGCCGGTACGAGACTCGAACCCACAACCTTTGGGTTACGAGTCCAACTCTCTAACCATTAGGCCACGACTTCCCCCTTTTTTTTTTTTAAGTGACGATTTGCACATATAATAATGCATTATGCATTAAAAAAAGCTTTAAGTGTTACAGAAAACTCTATTGAATTGCTTTCATGAATCATATTTTCCTTTAGAGCAGGTGTCAGATGTAAATCATTTCTGAAGATAATGTTCAGACACAGTACACCTGGTCCCACATACAACCTCGATCGTAAAACATTATTTGTATGATTTTGGTGATATTATATATTTTGTATACATTAATTGAATATAAAATTAAATGTAATGTAATTAATTAATATTGTTATTATTATTATTAATAATATAACACATGCATGTATATATTTAAGAAAAATATGTTATGTTTATATATTAAATCAATTTATATATTACATAAATTATATGAATACATAGTAAATTAAATTAAAAAATATATATATATATATTTAAATAATAAACGATTATTTATAAAAAAAAAAAAATTATAATTAATTATTGGTAAATAAAATTGTATGTGATATACACACATACACACACACACATACATATATATTTGCTTATATATTATATAATTATTGGTAAATAAAATTAATAATAATAATGATATTAATAATTTTTATAATAACGCTTAATTGAACATGATTTTTTTATATATTGTACCCCAAAATGTAGCTTTTTTTTTTTGTGATGTCGACATTTCTATTCTGTTTTTTTTCGTTACAGTGCCAGTCAGAGTCTGTTTGTGTTACTTTGTTAGTTTTATGTGTCATCATTGAGTAAATCAGGAGTATTTTAGTGACGCTTGTCTGCTTAAGAAGACACACAGCAGGAAGCAAGCGCTCATATTTGTTCAGGGACAGTCACTGACGGTTATGAAGAAACAACCCAGAGCAGTGTGTGCCGTGTTTAGAAACACTGAGCGCAGCAAACAGAAGCTCTGAACGCTTTTCAGTTCAGGAGCTTTTAACAGCATTTGATTTGTATTCTCTCCGCGGATGGTTTTACTGAAGTACATGATGCATCTCCTGTCAGCATTCAGAGGAAAGCGCTGGTGTTTGAGGCTGAAGTAAGTCTCTAGGAAGGAAACGCTGCTTTGAAGCCTTCGGCCACCAGAAGTTATTAACAATGATTGATTGTTTGTGAGCGGAAGTTCAGGGAACGAGGTGAAGGAGAACCGGAAAATCCTCTTACACTTAAATAACGCTGTCAGAAGCAGTGGGGTTTTGTGCTCCTGTAAGGAAAAATAAAATATTAATGTCTCAGTTGTTTCCCCTAAAGCTGAAATTGAGATCTAAGCTCTCATTTGCCCATATTTTGATATGTATTTATGTATTAATTGAATATAAAATGTCAAAGAATCAAAGAAATAAATTATACAAAATACAGTATATACTTGTTTTACAGTATATATAGTATGTATTTATAGTGTTTATCTATTTATATACTATGCTGCCATTTCTTGGGACTGACATGGTAAATAAAAATAGTAATACTTATATATAGTAGTAATAATAATAATAATAATAGTAATAATTTAAAATGATAATTTAAAAAGTTAAATATATATATATTTTATATAAATTAAATATACAATATAATGTATATATATATGTGTGTGTGTGTGTGTGTGTATAT